TAGACTTGGGTCCAGTGATGCTGAATAGTTCGCGTGAACGAGGTATAGTGAGCTGGTGGCCGTGCTTCTTGCATTTCTTCCCTACAACTTGTATTCCTTTATTTTTTAGCCGCTACATGCACCACTAAGTGCGCCACCTATTTAAAGGCCGTCTTTGTTAATCTGCTCTTTTTAGTGAGTGAAATCTGTTCTTTTTAGTGAGCTCACTGATATTTGCTGTGAAGTAGTTTCACGTAGTTTTTGTGGCAAAGTGTACAAAACATAAAATTAGTTGCTGTGAAGTAGTTTTTAGATGGATAGATAGTGCGCGAAAGCATTATCGTAGCATTTCTATCACTTCGGATGGGAAGAATTGGCGTGAAGATGCGTTGATGAATGCGCGCAGTAGTAAAGCAAAGTATGTGCTGTTTTTGAAGGTACACTTGATATGATTGATTTCGCTGCTTTCACAGGACTGCGCATAAAAAACCATTTTTTTTAACATTTTTTTTTTTTTAAATTGCGCTTTATGAACAATACAGTTATACCATGTAAAAACCAAAAAATTTTTTTTTGACTTTTTCTTACTTGTTTTAAAGATTTCACGTATTTAACAATATAGTGCCTATATCCTTTGTGTCTAATTAGAGGAAAAAAAATGCACGTTGATTCAAAAAACACAGTTATGCTATGCAAAAACCAATTTTTTAAACTTTTTCTTACTTGGTTTAAACATTTTACGTGTTTACAGTATAGTACTTATATCCTTTATATCTAATAAGAAAAAAACGCATTAATTAATCAAATTTCTCTTCGCCTAATCGCTAAGTCAGGGATCTGTAATCGCTGTGACTGTCGTTATGGAACTCTGAGAAAGCTCCTAAATCAGGCTTGCTCCATACAACGAACTGTTATTGCTGCCTGTGCTACTGCCCTAAAACTGTTTAGAATGTTATATGAAATGTTTTGAAGTTATTTTTTATTAATTTCAGTTTTTATTTAAAAAGACTTTTCAGGGTGATCATTTGTTGACGGACCACAGAATTCTGCAGAAATTGATGGGCAAAAAGAAATTGGCGATTGCTCCGCTTCTTTTTGCACCATTTGGTGATCCGCCATCGGTTTTCCTCTCAGATGATTACACTCTTCGCAGAAACATATCCACAGCTGAAGTATTTTGCTTTTTTTTATGACAGTTGTCTTATTTAAAAGGCTTCAGGATTATTTTTGAATATTTTGTTTTGCATACTTTTAATTTTTAAGAAAATAGGTTAAACTACTTCGACTTAAAGTGTGTTTGTCTAAAATCTGGAAAATCGTAATATCTGGCCGCTACAAAACTCGTTTCTGGAGACTTTTCATTCAGCAAAATTAAGGCCAGCTATTGCCAGTTTTTGGTCACTCGTGCCGTTGCGTCTATTTTCTTCACTGGTTGAATGAAGCAAGTTGTTTTTGCCATTTTTTTTGCAAAAAAGCGCCTCCTGAACTTTTGCTAAAAATTAAAAAGAAAGTAGGAAGTTCCAATTTGTAAGGAAAAATTTAAAAAAAAATTTATTTGATCCAGAAATTTCCTTCCGCTGAAGCCTCGAACAAAATTTCGCTGTTGTGATGCTTTTCGCTGTCGTTTCACATCTGTCAAGTTCCTCCACTGGCCTTGTGCCCATCGCATCTGCGCAGCTTTATATAGTCGCGAAATTAAAATTTTCGAAAATGTTTACAGCAATTTTTATTATGATTTGACGTACTGTGTTTGCAGGTTAACGAAATGCCGGAGCCATTGTTGCTAAATTTAGCGCATATCGATTCGTCCTATTTGACATTTTCATCGGACAATCTACACAGCTATCCAGCGGAGGATTCCAGATATCCAAAAGATGTTTTCGCGAATTCGGCATCCCGCATGGGCATATCTTTTTTTGTGGATAATGAATTCTTTTATGGATATTTTTTTGATCACTCGTTGCGATCACTAGATTACCAACGCAAATTGGTTGGTATATTCGTGCTTATTCGGATCCGTTAATTCCAAGGAGTTAATAGGCAAAAAGAGAATGCATTTTAAAAAAATATGTTATTCTTGAATAGAAGGGTCGA